TTAGTTGTCATCATCATTATTACCGGGGTACTGCCACACAAAGGCCACTAGACCTAGCTATACAAAAAAAACAAAAACAGTACTACTTTTTGTGCAATTGAAAAAAAAAAGAAAGTTTCGCGAAATTAGACTCTGTTTTGGTCAGAAAATTGCTGAAATGGCAAAACAAAAGCAGCAAGGCAACAATGCATTGCGGTCATTGTTTCTGTGAGATTCATTTTAAACGGTCTCCAAATGGCACAAAAAATCAGCAAATAATAGTCCGATGAGTGGGGGAAAGTGCTCGTAATTTAAAAATAATTGCGTTTAGCAAAGAACTTGAAAAAAGGTCATTGAAATAATCTTAAACAATCAATTAATAAGCAATTGAATAGGTTATTCAATTTTTCTTGTCTCGATTACCAGAGGCCAAGAAAACTCCATTAGTCGATGGCTATTTACACCGCTGGGATCAACGAAGCGTTAAATCAAACATTTGCCAAGTCAGACATCTCGATCAAACTAATTAATCAAAATGTTCAACCAGACAATAAAAAGACAACAACAAGAAACGAAAATGAAGATCGCAAATGAACAGAAACGATAGAGTTCAATAAAGTGGAGATCAATGGCCCACCAAGATTGAAAGTTCAATATCGGAGAAGAGAACGACGCTAACTGGGTTGGGCCCAAAACCAATAGAGCGACAAGGAACCCAGATCGATCTTGTTGATGCATTTCCTAATGGCCTAAACATAGGTGGGGGTAAATCGAGCCATGAATGAAACTAGCCAAGGTATTTGTAAATTAAAGCTAATGACTTGAACAAAATACAAATGGTAAACTAAAGAAAGGGAAACGAGCGGACAATCCTCCAGAGTATAAAGATGATTCTACATTCAACTCTGTGGGGGTTTCTGCTGGTTCATCCAGCATTTCTTCTCAGCGGGTCAAAATGCAGTAAACTCAGCGGTACGGATGTTATGATTCTACAGATTTTTTACAGTGAAGGTATTATACTTTATTGAGAAATCCGTAAATCCCAACACCTCTCTAATAGCTCATAAAAAAAACTCAATCCTATAGATTTTTATTATTTAATCCTTTTGCAAAAAAAACTATCTTGTAAAAAACAAAACTCCTATTGCGAGAGATCACTGTACTATTATCCATTGGGAACAGAAACTGGCAACTGGGAGATACAGTTAAAGCCGCTTTCAGCTGCAACTGCAACGACAAACTGCAACTTCCACCGGTAGACGCCAGCAGTCTGGAGTCGATGGAGCGATGCCCGTTTTTGGAGAATGGCTTTACAGCCCAATGAGTCACTGTTTTTTACGTTTTTTTTTTGTTAACGTTATTCCCGCTGTTCTTTGTAATCAGAACGAGCGTGGAAACGTAGGGAATTGGTAAAAGAGAGCCAAACAAGTTACCTGCCGTCTGGCAGGAGGATCGTTGGCTGATTGCGTGACAGTTGTGTGGGTAAGAGGCTTAGCAGCTTGTCTCAGGCTTAACCGATCCAGGGCATGGAAAACCCTATACCATGGACCATAACTTGTGATCAGCTACCGAAATGAATAATGATTTAATAGGGCAGACGGAATGGAAATTAAATTGTAATCTAGGGAATTGCAATTAATTGTTGGGCAGTCAATGTGGGAGCAGCCACAGGCCACCCAGAAGGTTTAGGTCGATTTAAGCTGGGTAAAAAGAGGTACTTCCCTTTGGGAAAGCTAACCTATTAGCTGGAAATCGTCACATCCTGAACCACAAAATAATACCAAAATATCCATCCTCCTTCAACGTAGAAACTGGAAAATCAGAAAGAAAGAGGCGAAAACATGTTCAAAACCCCAAGACCTACTTCAACCGGGAAAAAAGAGATGGATAGATCAGAAGCCTCTGAAGAAGTGGGACAAAAGTAGAAAACAAAGACCCTCACCGGATCGGTTGCAAAGAAAACAGGATGCGCATGCGCAGTAGAAACGGAACGAAATGGAACGAAACTAAAGGTGAACATCATCATGATCATACTCAAAAAAATAAAGAAAGAAAAAAATAAATAAATAAAAGAAAAAGCGAAATCAAAGAAATCAACAAATAAAACATAAAAGGAAACGATTCTCGGGGGCAGTGCAAACAGACACAAAAGATGAAGCAGAACACGATAAGGTTGCCCATAAAGGAAATACTAGGTATAGGGGAAGAAGGGATCTCGAGTACAAGGAGGGTGGAGCAGCTAAAGAGAGTCCACCGAAAGGAGGGGACAAATAGGAATGGCAAACGATAAACGTCATCGGCCAGATTATGCTGCATAAATTATCAAATGCAGAAAGGCACTGCCAAAAGGGAGCGCCGCATAAAAGTGGAAGAGAGATGCGGCGAGATAGAGGGAGCCAGCACTTGGGCGCTGTAAATAATTGTAATTTACGTGGAGAAGGGAACCCACTACACCCTAGAATTAACTTGTGGGGCACTACAATAGTTCCAAACTTTATCAATCAAAAAGGTCTTACAAAAAATTACAAACAAATTCAGAATATAGAATCATATTTGTAATATCTTTTTTAAGATTTTTCAAAAAGAATATTATTTGATTACCCTCAGGTGTTTATGCTGTCTACCTGAGCCGCCGCGGCAAAGGTAAAGAGAACCTGACGAAGAGGTAGAAGGGAGGAAAACGGAGGCAGCGCAAGAGTAAAGCCAGAACAGCACGTACAAGAAATTAGCAAACACAGAAACAGGCTAAGAAACGAGAAAAAGAGCTCCGAAGGGGCTGAAAAAGTCGTAAAGAAGAAAAGCGAAACGTCTACGAAACGGATTATGATGTTCCCCAACATGATCATGATAATGATGAATGGATTGGGGAAATAGGAGAAAAGGACAAGTAGATAGGGCGGCCAGTAAACCGCCGGCGGGGGCAGCTGGACAAATGGAGTTACTACACATGGAGATGAACATGGACCACGCGTAATTCGTTCTCTTTCCCTCTTACTCTCCGACTCTGTCCCTTTCTTATTACTATATGTAATCGTGGCCAGAATCGTAAAAACGTGATCGAGGGCTCAAAGTGTACCATACGTTTTTCACAGGTTTTTTTTATTATTATTTTTATTTTTATTTTAGTGTTCCTGTTTTTCTTGTACTTTGTTCTTAATACTGCCCTACAAAGGAGGTCTTATGATTCATAGATGAAGTTCCGTTTTTAAAAGAAATAAGAGAAATGTTAGATACTCTCTTTTAAATCATATATCTTATTATCAACCCCATTTTGGATTGGTTATCCTCAAAAATATCATATTTAGTATCTTTTATTATAACTAAGATCGTCCTCCAAATAATATAAAATGGTGATAATATTAATTATGTTAATATCCTATATTGTACCTCCTTATAAAGAGTATTACCATATATCAGTGGCGCCTTGAAAATGTTACTTTCTTGAGGAACCTTTTTTGTATCTGTATCTTTTTAGTGCCTATTTACGTCTTTGTTTTTGTACTCTTGGATTGAGTTTTTTTTTGTATCCCTTGTTTTGGGGATCTTGTATCTTAATGTATGATTATTTTGTTTTCTACTCCCTGCGGCCGACAACTTTTTCATTAGAGCGGAATAAAACAAGCCAAATCAAAGAAAAACAATCGCTCCTCACTGTTGTTTTTGTTATTTTAGCTGCTTTCAGCTTGTAATCTCAATTTTCGGTTCTAGAACTTCAGCCTATACCGCCTATACCTCCACCGCCTTCACCTCCTCCCACTTTTCCTGTCTTGTGTCTATCGTTGGGGTAATTTACAAGTCTGGGCAGCAGAATTTACATGCAGACACTGACACGATGTTTTTGTAGTTTTTTTTTCTTCAAGTTTCAGTTGGCTTTTGGATGGGCTTGGCTACAACTGTTGAAGTTGTGGGTCAATGAATCAGCGCGTGGATGCCGCAACAGCTGTGCGAACTTTTGAGGAAATGCCAGATGGAGTGAAATGGGAGTGGATATAGCAAAAGTATTCAAGGTATGATCTCAGGTAGTTTCGTTTTGATAAATTAAATTTTTTATAATGGAATCTGGGAGGTGTTCTATTGAAGAGATTAATAAATGGGTAGAGATACATATATGATAGCTCATTAAAGATGTTTTGATAAAGAGCTTCAATAAAATGTCGTATTTCAATTGGAATTTAAAAGATATATCGTCAGCGATAGTGTCAGTAATCTATGCAATTCTTTAAGAATTTTACAGTAAATATTATGATAATACTACTCTCATTGTAACACCCAAAAGTATTTTCTAGATCTTCCTAAAACCCTTCACACCCCATGTGTATTTTTTCATGACATTTCTTGATGAAATACAATCAACATTTTCTTTTTTTTTTATCAGTTGGAAAAAGAATAAAAGGTCTTGGGATTAATAATCTTGTTGATTGTTGGTTAAGTACTTTCCCCTCTTTTATTTGAACTGAGAAACCCTAAGTCTGATAAGATACTTTTCATGGAAATACTGTTTTATGTTTGAGGCACAAGAACGTTTCTAAAGAGCATCTGTCGGTAAAGTCATATGGCACCTGCCACCTCATAAAAAGAATTTGCATAAATACTAAGTTTCCATAATCAGCACAATAATCTCAAATAATGTCAATTATTATTAACGCGCCACTGTAAATGGCCGTCAGCCCGCCCACTCGCACACCTTCTTGAGGCAACACTCCCACACAGAAATGGGCAAAAATTAAAAGAAACCTGCAGACTGTTACAGTGATCCCCCAAGAGTGTGAATATTAAAGGCAAAATATTTTAGCCACAATTTTAAGCCAGGAATCACTGTTAACCAAAACCAATTAGCCAAGATGAGAAATTCAAGAACCGATCGCGAACAATTACGTGAATAATTTACAGCTGAGATACATATGAGCTACTAAAGCTGCCAACGCTTTGGGGATCAGGTAGATCTTACGGAACCGGTTAAGAATGAGAGGGTGTATTCGAGGAGCAAGGCAAGGGCGAGGGCGCGGGCGAGGGGCACTTACCGCTTTTAAGACGATCGTTAATTAGATCCTCGATCAGCTGCGGACACTCGCACTCGATGGCGTAGCAAAACTGCTTGAACTTCTCGAAGCCACTCTTGGCGATGATTTCGATCAAGTTGGAGCACTGGAGCCGCAGGATTTCGGCGTCACTGAGTCCTGAGCAGCCGCCGCCGCTGCCGCCAGAGGGCGTTAGGGGGCGGCTGTCGCTGTGCGCGTCCCCATTGACGCTGGCGCAGCGCGAGGAGCCGCTGCCACCGCTACCGCTGCCCCCGCTGGCGGAGCTGCCGCTGCTGGCCACAGCACTGAGCTTCCGCTTGGTCAGGGTCGGAGCGGTACCAGGTGGATCTGAGGCAGCTGTCGTGGAGGGCGTGGGCGTGGCTGCGTTATAGGGCTTCAGCAGGAGATCCTCTTCCGACTGGCTTAACACCGAGTTTTTCACAAGCACCGCCAGAAGATCGGTGCTGCCCAGGTCCAGCATGATCCGCTCCTGGTGGCGAGACAGCAGGGATCGCACCTCTTCCTCTTCTTCGCGCGTCATTTTGCTTTTCGTTTACAGTTGTTTGCCGATTTTTTGGATGCTATTGCTTTATTTATTGCACTCTTTGGCTACAAACACACACACACTTTGAATGCCCAGACCCAGAGGCATCTTGAATTTATTTACTTGTTTAGCTGATTTTTCGACCTGTTAATATTGGATTTCATTTCAATGTAATTAGCTTGCACTTTTAATTTTTGCTTGTATTAGCACACTTTAGTTGTAAGTTATTAAACTTTAAATTGATTTTATTTTATTAGGTAGTTAGAAAACGCGCCATTTATTTCTGAACTGCGGACTCCGTTCGATACACCGGTCGCCTTCGTGGTTGAAATTCGAAAAAAAAGACTTTTCTGTTGTTGATACTTTTAGAGAGCCTTTGCTGCTGCCACTGCTTCTGCCTCTGCTGGCGTTGCACAGTGGGCATAACAGTCAAAAACATGCTTAAAATAGACAATCGCTCAAGAAATGAACAAAGCAATATTTATAATTCAACAGAAACAGGAATTAATATTTTTTAAATATTATATTATTTAATAACAGCCATTGTCTTAATTTTTTTATTTAAAAATTAGCTGATTCTATAAAATACTAACCTTAAAAATGTTGTATTTTAAATTTATTGTATTTATTATGATAGTTTTTCAAAACAAAATTAAGAAAAATATTATTTTCTAAAGAAATCTTACAGGAATGGATTGCCTTACACCTATAGATACAAAGATACTTAGATACGTCGATACCACCATGCATTGGCAGCGCTGTAAATAAAAGAGAGAGTCTGCTGACGTCGGCAGCGTTTTCTCAGTCACTCTCTCAGACGGCTTTGTTGTTTTACGTCAACAGAGACCATTGAAAGCCGGCTTTGAACTGTTTTGGAGAGCCGTTCGCTCAGTTTGAGCCATCTCAGCGAAATTGTGAGAAAAACTGGTCCGTGAGAGCAGAGAGAGCCAATTGCATTTGCAAAACAAATTCAAACGCAATGCAGTTGTTTTTACATTGCGTTTTTACAAATGCATTTTCTTTGAGTTTGTTGTTTAAATAATTTTTTGTTTCAGATGCGTTCTAAATGTTTTTATAAATAATTTTATTTTACAAAAACAAAAGAACATTTATGTTTATATTAATTTGTATTAAAAAATTGCATCTTTTGTTATTTCAGCTAAACATTATTTTTTTAAGCCAAGTAGCTTCTGTTTACCATGTCGAGTGGCTTATAATGAGGACTTCTAGAGCTGCAAAAACCGGAATCGGAAGCAGGCTTACGGTGTACAACACCTAGCCTTGATTAATTGCCAACGGGCCACACACTCAGACACATGGCTGACCGTTTATCTCGGGTGCTTTGCCGATTTACAGACTGTTGGCCAGATTGCCACCAGTCATTACAAAGGAGTCGGCATAAACTGAAAAAAATGCATTACAAAAAGATACATGCCAATATAGGGCCATATAAAATGGACAAAAAATTTTAAAAATGTTTTGTGTTAGGATTTTGATGCAGAATGGTGGAGAATCGATCTAGAAATCGTTTAAGGTACTCCGCTTGAGAATCGGATGGAAATTGGGGAAGATATAGCTATCACTGTGGGCCCTATAGGGGAAAACCCCATTTTTAAGGCATCCCATCACGAAAAATGGACAAAAAATCTCAAAAATATTTTGTCTTAGGATTTCGATGCAGAATGGTGGAGAATCGATCTAGAAATCGTTTAAGGTACTCCGCTTGAGAATCGGATGGAAATTGGGGAAGATATAGCCATCACTATGGGCCCTATAGGGGAAAAATCCATTTTTAAGGCATCCCATCACGAAAAATGGACAAAAAATTTAAAAATATTTTGTTTTAGGATTTTGATGCAGAATGGTGGCGAATCGATCTAGAAATCGTTTAAGGTATTCCGCTTGAGAATCGGATGGAAATTGGGGAAGATATAGCCATCACTGTGGGCCCTATAGGGGAAAACCCCAATTTTAAGGCATATCATCACGAAAAATGGACAAAAAATCTAAAAAATATTTTGTTTTAGGATTTTGATGCAGAATAGTGGAGAATCGATCTAGAAATCGTTTAAGGTACTCCGCTTGAGGATCGGATTAAAATTGGGGAAGATATAGCCATCACTATGGGCCCTATAGGGGAAAAATCCATTTTTAAGGCATCCCATCACGAAAAATGGACAAAAAATTTAAAAATATTTTGTTTTAGGATTTTGATGCAGAATGGTGGCGAATTGATCTAGAAATCGTTTAAGGTATTCCGCTTGAGAATCGGATGGAAATTGGGGAAGATATAGCCATCACTGTGGGCCCTATAGGGGAAAACCCCAATTTTAAGGCATATCATCACGAAAAATGGACAAAAAATCTAAAAAATATTTTGTTTTAGGATTTTGATGCAGAATAGTGGAGAATCGATCTAGAAATCGTTTAAGGTACTCCGCTTGAGGATCGGATTAAAATTGGGGAAGATATAGCCATCACTATGGGCCCTATAGGGGAAAAATCCATTTTTAAGGCATCCCATCACGAAAAATGGACAAAAAATCTAAAAAATATTTTGTCTCTGGATTTTGATGCAGAATGGTGGAGAATCGATCTAGAAATCGTTTAAGGTACTGCGCTTGAGAATCGGATGAAAATTGGGAAAGATATAGCCATCACTGTGGGCCCTATATGGGAAAACCCCATTTTTAAGGTATCCCATCGCGAAAAATGGACAAAAAATCTAAAAAATATTTTGTCTTAGGATTTCGAGCAGTCCTTTCTTGTTTTTTTTCTCTCAGTACTCTTTCCCATTGATACACAGAAGTGAACTAATTACGTTTGTTTGAATTGCGGCGCCCTGATTAAGGCACTTTTGCTGGCCCGGCCATCGATGAGGGCCCGGAATAATAATAACAGATGTTGAGCCAGACCCTGGAAACGGATAAGGATAATTATGGGGAATTATAGATCAGACGTCATGATGTAAACTGGTTCGACAATCTTTGAATTCTAGTTCAACATTCCTGGCATGTTTCGCATATCAACGGATTAACAGGTGTCTCCGCCCCCAAATGGGGCAATTTCAAAACTATTTGCATAACATTTATGCCATAAATTGAGTATAATAATTTGCATCGGTCCCCTCCTTGATTATACCGCCCTCTAAAAAAAAAAGAACTGACTTCTGGTAAGCGAAATAAACTTAAATGACAACAAGTTGTGCGGCTTTCATAATTTTATGCAGAAATGCAGTCGAACTCAATGAAAAGTATAGCTCATAATTCTAGGCGGTAAATTGCTCTTTTGCAATTCCAAATCTACTCCCACTCCATTACAAAAGTTGTCAATCAAATGCGGAAAAGTTTTTATATTTACAAATGGGGTTCATTCAGAATAAAAATAGAGACTGACGAGTGTTCACTGTTCAACCCAGATTTTCACTTCACTGGCGAATACTGTTAAGGTGGGGGCTCTGGGTATTTTAAAAATATTTTTGCGAGTGTTTGTGAAAAGGCTTGAATGCAAATTACTATTATTACCGGACAATTGCTCTGGGATGCGAGTGCTTTGAAAATATTTGCCACTCAGCCCTAAAGGGAGAGTTGAATGGCACCAGAAATCTGGCTGATTCACCCCAATCTAGGCTTTTCGGATTACACATTCAAGGCAACGGGGGAAGATCCATCAATAGTATTATAGTAATACATGTTCTTACTTAATGTTTCGATTTAGTATTGCTTGTCACGTCTCTACAGCCTCCTTTGCAATTAACGGAGTAAGGGGAAAGTACAGAAAAGCTTGATTAAAATGAACTTAATCATAAAATTGAATATAAAAGTTTAAGATATTTAGTTTCCACTGTACTACGGTCAAATTGAGAGACTCAAAGCTCCTTTCCGAGTGTCTGCTGCCCTTCCGGGGTGTAGAAATCAAGTTCAACTGGAGTCGGGGCCTTGAGCCATCCATCAAATGGTGAGTAACCCTCCGGCAAATTTCTTAGCTTCCCCAGATCCAAGTTCCAGGTGCACTTGCTCGATAATCATCTTGGGGAATTGTTTTGACCAAACTCCATTTGCCGATTAGCAGACCAGCCGACGACCCACCGCACGTGGTGACTCTCGTCGGTCCTGTTTGAGTTATTGTGGAATCTTTATTATTTCGTAATTACTTATCGACCATTGCTGGCAAACTGGCATGCTGTTTTCTAATCTGGACCAAGAGAAAGGCCATAAAAATGACTGTCCAGCTGAATCGCAGTGAAAACTGGCAGTGAATATGGCTCTCAGATGCTTCTGCAGGTGGTAATTCAATTTAATTCTTTTAGTGCCTTGGTAACCTGATTTATATGCGGATTTAATAATTCTAATTGGGAGAGTAGTAGTCATAAACTGAAAAGCAACTGAAAACTGTTTCATTTTTTGCGCTAATCTAATATAGCCATGGTACGAGTTTTAGTGTAATCTATAATCTAATTTAATAAGAGATTGACACAAAAATTAATAGTTTCCTAAAAATTATAATTATAATATAAACACCTATCGAACAAGGAAATAAATCCGGCTGCTACTATATCAGTGCGATATTTATTTTGTTTTTTTTTTTTATTTATTTTTGAAATGCAGATAAGAGTGCAATCTTAGTACAAGGATTCAAAAGTATATCGAATGTCATGGTGAAACCGCACTCGATAGAAAGCATAAGTTTGTGAAGCTAAGGATGCCATCGATGTGCTTCATAATGCCATTGCTTAAATCCCAAAAACAAACTTTACCTTTAGCTTTTAGATTATTGAAAATGTGATTAAAAATTGTAATCTCTATTTTCAAAAATACCCATTTTAACCATAATATAATCCAATTTCATAGAAATATAATAATCGGAAAGAAGGGCCTAAATTTTCTAACAATCAGCAGTTTAGAAAAACTATTTATTTCCGTAAAAACTTCTTAGAAATGTCTCTACGTATTTTTCACTGAAATTTGAACAAATTTAGACTGAATGTTTTAATCAAAACAATTTTAATCTTTATCAATAAATATATATATATTTTACATGCATTACTGATAATGAGGTAACTACAGTCCCGCAAGTAATGATACACTTTAAATGATAGTTCCAAGCTTACACAGCATTTAATGTTAACTAGTTTATTTTATTTGGGTAAGTTACAAATTTTTAATTTGAAAGAGGTTCCTTGGAATAAAGTATGCTCTTTGCAATAATTTTCCTATTTAAAAGTAGAGGATTATTTTTTAATTAGAGAAACTTGTGCTAAAGTATTATTTTTTTCGCAACTTCCTATTTTTGTAACACTGTAATAATACATTTTTTATTGATTGAGATTGATAGTGAAAATTTCCACCCGCCTTCCAGGAACTCTTATCAAAGTGTATAGCCTAGGATTTAAATATTCGAATTATAGTTTTGAAAACAGTAGCAATTTTTTCCTCTTCAGAGAAGCATCGTTTTATTAATTTTTGTTGTGCATTAATAGTGATTGATTCAAAATGAAAAGAAATCCTTCTTTTGCCTTTTTGGCAATGGGATTTGCATTTTGTGCCTTTTGTCCGTTTTTGGCAACATGCAAGGAAGAGGAAGTCTCAGATTTGAAAAAAGGCATTGAAAGTTTATCGAAAATCATGGCGAGATACCAATCCGAATTCGACAATAGGGCGAACTTTATGAAGCTGCAGCTCGCCGTTGATGAGATTGACCGTGCCATGATGGGCTACCAGGGAAAGGCAAAAAACAGCCTGCCTATGATGCGCACTTTGAACTATAACGCCCGAACAATCTACCAGAGCTGTGTGGCTCCTGTCTTCGAGTGGTGCATCTCCACCAACCGCACCTTTGACCTCTTCATCCCCTCCATTCGCGACAGCAATCTATCCTCACAGGACAAGGATTTAATCTGGAACCTGACAGTGACTGCCTTGAACTCGGGGCTCGAAAAAACTACACAATCTTTGTCTATGCTCTCTACTGTCCAATACAAAACCGCTGAGCTCAAGAATCTGTTTCGCTCCATGTTGCATGACGTCGCCGATGATTTCGGTCCAAGTGGCTTCTATGGCAGGGAAAAGGCGGAACTGGAGCAGCAGATCATGGATGCGCAGACAGGGCGGAAGGTAGCTGTGTCAGCTTTCGTTGGTTTTATGTATGGGATGCTCGGTTCCCTTGTTTTTGGACCGATTGGCAAAGGATTGCGATTAAAAGACGGCTTTGTGGTTTATGGGATCGTGGAAAAAAACGATTGGGATCGGAAGACATTGTATAAGGAGCGTTTAGAGATTATTGACGAATTATTCAAGTTACTGACCAAAAAAATTGAGATGGCCACCGAAATAGTGAAAGAAATCGATAGTGTCCTGGAGGAGGACAAAACCAATCTACATAAGCTACGCGGAGTGATTGAAGGAGCCAATACTGTAACAAAATGTATTTGTAAATTCTATTCTTAACTTAATGTTTTTATTTTTGTATTTTAGAACAAAGCGTTGTTGTTGAGCGATGCGGTGTTTCTACGAGTCACCTTCGTTGAGGATATCCAAAAACTGATGAATGAGTGCACCAACTACGTTAAGTGGCATGGATCTGATGCTCCATTTTATAATACGTTCAAGTCCAGCTTGCGTCACGAAGCTTTTACATACTGCGAAGACCAACGATTAAATGTGAAAAATATGTCTTCCGGGTCCAGCTCGCAAAATGCCACAGATATTCCGAAAATAATAAGCTTAATCGATCAAATGGATTGTGATCCCTACATTCCTCCTGTTAAGAAGTGCAATTAGCAAAGATTTTATTTAAGTCCCGCTTGTTTTGGAGAAAAATGATTTCTAATGATTTTTTGTAACTTTTTTACTTAATTGTTCAAGTTTATAAATTTTTCAAAGTTATCAAAGATTATTTGTAAAATTCCCAAGAAGATTAATAGAACAAAGAATTGTACGGATCATAACTCTATCAAAGCTTTATCATAACAGAAGTAGATCTAACCCCTCCTCATTTATACTTATATGAGAAATTATGATGAAAATTTAAATAAAACTTTTTTAAACTGAAAAACCTACATCTTATGAGCTTTTCAAGAACGTGGCTTTTAAGTATATTTTTTAGAAAGGAAATTATTATGATTATGCGTATAGAAATGGGCATATCAGCTCATAAGGGACACCAATTGGAAACAGTTATTCCTTCTGCTCCATGTCCCCCACTTTCCAATATCGAAAATGTCTCCAAATTCGAAGAACGGGAGGATGGGCCAAATGGAAAATGAGATGGGGAGCCCTCACTTCTGTCAGAGCGATGGCCGCAGTCACAAGTGAATTACCTAGAGAGCCGACAACTACCACCAATACCAAAAGCGATCGCCTGAGGGCAGTGAAAAAACGTGTGACCACGTGTTTGCAGCAGTGGTGCCAGAAGCTCCAGCAGCCCGCCTCCTTTCGCAAGAGTTCCTCCAGCCGCTTCTACAGGATCTTCGTGAAGGCCGATTACACGGCAATTGGCGATAAATTCAAATCCGTTCGCCAATTCCACAAGATCTTCAAGGCGGGAAGGAAAAAAAGAGAAGAACCGGCGGAGTCGGTCGATGAGCGCCAGCAGTTGCAGTTTGTGGCGAGACTCTTCTCCTCCACATTGATTTCCACGGAGGAGATTTACGGTAACGGAAAAACCAGCTACAGCAGCCGGAAAAGTCAGAGTTACAACAGCAACAGCATGACCATTATTGAGAGCAACTATATAGCCGTAAGGGAGGAGAATCCCGATATAGACGCAGAGGTGCGCGCCATTTTGCTATCTCATGCCCAGAATGGCATTACGATATCGAGCATCAAGAGTGAGTTTCCCCCAAACCCATAAGGGATTTTTCTTTTTCTTAAATAAAAATAGGGGATATAGAATATAATTAATTTAAAAAGGTTTTATAATAAGAATGTGTGTTTTTCTAAGGTGAATATCGGAAACAAACGGGCAATACCTTCCCGCTGCACGACAATGTCACCGACTTCCTGCTCACCATTCCATATGTCACCGCCGAATGCAGTGAGACCGGCAAGAGGATTTTCAACATGAAGCCCAACAAGGATAATCGTCATCTGTACGATATGGTCCTAAATCAAAAGCCGCGCAACGACTGCAGCAGCGGTCCGCCCTCCTCCGTGGAGTACAATAGGCCGGTGGGGCAGCGTGGACCGCCCCGTCACTGGCGGTATCAGTACAAGCGCCGGGCCCAATCCCCGCTGGAAAACACAAACCAGATCAAACAACTGAACACCGAACAGAATGGTATGGAGAAGCTCCAGGACAATGTCCAAATCAGAGCGATTACGACCAATTCGGCTACCCTGCAGAAACTGGCCAAAGCTGCAGGGGAGTCGAATTGGTGCTACCAGGATAATTGGAATCATCTGTAAGTATTACATAGTTAAGAACTTAATTAGTGGAGTTTCTAGGATTGTTATCTATTGATAATGTAATGTATTGTAGCAACAATTTCTACCAACAAAACAACGTGAATGGACCACAAAATCCAGTGCCACCCAACATTTACATCGATACTCCGGATCAGCACACACAGGTGACAGATCCAGAGCTACTTCATTGCCAGAACCGAAATCCCAGCCAGAACCAAAACTACCACCAGGATATATATAATAACCATAACAGAGATATGCTTGAATTTAAGAGACCTCGTGACTTAACACCCACTCCCACCACCACCAGTGGCACCCAAAATGACTCGATGATGACTATCAGCTCCGATTTTGATGCCTTTCTGCTTGATTTTCCGCTCATGGGCGATGACTTCTTCCTATATCTGGCCCGCATGGAGCTTAACTGTCGGTTCAAGCGATACGAGCGGGTCCTGCAGTCAGGACTTTGTGTCTCCGGACAGACAATTATTGGCGCCAGAAACAGGTTTAGGAAAGTTTACTTACCGGAGAATACCCAGATCATAGTCAACATCGGATCGGTGGATATAATGCGGGGCAAGCCCCTCGTCCAGATCGAACATGATTTTCGATTGCTAATCAAGGAGATACACAGCCGGAGATGCATCCCGATCTTAACAAATCTGGCACCTCTGGCCAACTACTGTCACGATAAGGTCCTGTGCGATAAGATCTCCAAATTTAATAAGTTTGTACGCAACGAGGCAAGAAGTCATCTGAAGTTCATTGATATTAATTCTTGTCTCATAAACGAGAAGAAAAATGTCCTATTTGATTGTTTTCAAAGGTAAGATGTATTTTTTTGCGTTTTTGAATTTATTTAACCCATTGATTGCAGTGCACCACGTACCGTCACTGGTTCCAAGGAACCCTATCTCTTTTGGAACAAAATAGGACGGCAACGTGTCCTCCAAACAATCGAATCCTGCCTGGAGTATTGACCAGAACTTTTGACTGGGCTGGCACCGGTCCATCTATGAAGATGATTTTTACCAAATTTTACGCTGACGGCACTCTGCTTTTAATGGAATTCGCTTAACTTTTAATATGTTATATGTCTATGTGTCAATGTCCCTGTCTATTTTTATGTTCAATTGTATTCGTGCGCTTGTGAGAGTCCCCCTAATTGTTTATACATGTTTTGTGTTTTTTGTTAGTTTTTAACTTTATGTGGTTTTCGCAGCCTGGTATTCATTTCGTAATATTTAGAGCTTTCGCCCATTTCTTGCATCTATCCCAAAAACTGTGTGAAAATTCGACTTACGAAGTGATATAAGGATGCTAAAAACTTTCTCTACACTCTAAAAATTATTCCATCACATTTTTCATTTCAATTTACTGTTTCTATTGGATTGCAAAATGGAATTTAACTGCAAATCATTGCAAATGTTATAATCTGTTTTTTGTTCTCCATTTTTTTTCTGTTTTTTTGGGCCAAAATGCTGCATGCTCATGTATAGGAATCTGATGCCGCCTTGCCACAAGAGTGGGTGGGATGGAGGGTTATATACATTTGAGTCATGCCGCATTTTGGTCGCGATGAAAATGCATTTGCTTCCCTTGAAGCATTCGCTTGCACAAAATCAACGCCGCGGCTGATTTATTATTGATGTGCCAAGCAATTTCAAGTGAAACATTTGTGAGATTTTCGTGTTCCGGTTTCCGTTAGAGTTTTTCCCATTTCTTGTAAAAAAGTTTATAAAATGCTTATACTTTGCTGTAAACATGCCATCGGAAGTGCGCGCTTTATACTTCTGTTTGCTGCAAAGTATACAAACTAACTCATTTCTTTTCAAATTAATCTAAAGTGCTATCTAATATTTATAAACTAGTTTAATGTCTTGTATGTATGTTTTTTGTATGTATCGGAAGTGATCACGTTTTTTTTTGTCCTCATAACAAGCTGCAATGTAAAACTCAAAAAAAAAAATGAAAAATAAAACAAAAGGGAAAATTTAAATTATGAACTTTTTGGGCAATATTGTGATAATTTAAAAATTAAGTTAAGAACTCTTATCACTTATAGAATTTTGAAACTCCCCGCCATATATCGATATCATATATATCGATAGTTTGGCACAAAAGCTCTAAATCATGTGTCAACTTGCCGCTTCGTGCCTGGGCACACTGTTTAGCAGGCGACGGCTAAAAAAGTAAGCATATTTTTTCGTCGAAATCTTTGCTCAATTCATTGGACGAACGTTTTCACTTGATTTCAGTACAAAATGGCTTCATTCTTGGCACGTACGAGCGGTCCCATACTTGAATCCGTTAGGCCAGCGACGGTTAAGAAGGTAAGTGCCAGCAAATACCGTTTAAATGCCATTTAAGTGTAAGTGCAAATTCAGTCACTTTACATAATAATGGCAAAGGCGAGAGACAGAGAGAGAGAGAGCAATAAAGAGTTGGCAAGGTGAAGTGCGGCGGCTGCCTTCTTTTCTGTCGCTAGTTCAGGGACAGATCAGTATGGCGGGGGTGGTGATCGTTACTTGGACATGATTCTATTCCTTAGGGGCTAAGTTCGCATTAATTTTGGTGACCGACCAAATGGCTTTAAATTGATAAGCGAGAGGGCTATAGAGTCACGATCGTGGAGCGCCCCTGCCTAGCCACCTGACTTGTGTCGGTGTGACGCAACAGTGTGCCTGTGTGTGTGTGCAGGGGACCTTGAAAGGGGGCCTATATTCCACTTTCCACCACCCATTTTTTGTTTTTGTTATTTTTTTTTATCAATGAGGGGAATGACAACTGTTGCTATCTATTGTTGTTGTTGTTGTTGGTGTTGTCGGGCCCTCTAATTAAATTTTTAATCTGTGAATTAGATTAAGTTATCATCATGAAATGCCGTTAGCCGCTGCTAGACTTGGTCTTTGCTCTTAGCCCGATTTTCTTGTTTATGTTTTTTTTTTTTTTGGATGAATCAGCAAACCAGTTTTAGTTTTTTGTTTGGCAATGACCTCGTGACTGAAAATTTAGCAAACTTCACAATAAAAATTAAATCAAAAATATTAATTAAAATATTTTATAGATTCTTGGCCTTGCCCCTGTCGCCGTCCAACAGCTGAGAAACCTCAACGTACAGGAACATGTCTCCTACAGTCTCCTCAACGAAAGCAAAATCCCAACACCACGGTAAGTAAATCAAAACAAGACACTGCTATTATCAAAGGAATCCATCCAGTAGTAGCCTCATAGCTACAAAGTTGCTGGTCCAAAGTTCAACGAAAGTGCCGCGTTGTCGCAGCATTGATTCATTTTTTCATTTTGGACTTTGGCCTAACTTATTAATTGCTATTAATTAGCTGGGGTAAACAAACGAAAGAAACGCCACAGATTGATAAGATTTGCAAATATATATACCATTTGATCGATGTGTAGTGTCAAGGGTCAGTGACGCGGACTGTGATAAGCAATGCAAGTGTTCTAAGAAGGAGTAGTAATTATAGACATATTCAAAAACAGCTGCAAGCCATTGGCTCTTTTTAGTTTGTTTGTTTAATTGGGAAGCTCTGTTTTTTCCATAAATATTAATAATGGAAACAGCAGTTTTCCGGTCTACACAATCATCCGATTATGTTTTGAAAGGTATGCTCTCTGGTGTCCCAATAACCTTGTCTAGGCAGACTCAAAGTCTCACCTACTGATAAGCACGAATTTACGTAAAGGTCTCTTATCAGGGAATGATTTCGTGGGTTTCCATCATAAAGAGAACTCCCAGAATTACGAGTGACTCACTGATTTGTATGTCTTTTATTTTTAGATTTGCTGTTGCCAAGAACGGCAAAGAAGCGCACGATATTGCCACCAAGCTCAAGACAGACAACCTGGTGCTGAAGGCCCAGGTCCTGGCTGGCGGACGAGGCAAGGGAACCTTCAAAAACGGCCTTAAAGGTGGTGTGCGTGTGGTCTACGAGTGGGTTTTCAAATACATTCGCATTCTAAGATATTATTTTATTAAAAATATTTCATATGTAGTCCCAAGACAGCTGAGGAGATCTCCGCCAAGATGATTGATCAGTTGCTGATCACCAAGCAGACGGGTGCTGCTGGACGAATGTGCAAAAAGGTTATGGTTGCCGAGAGGAAGTTCCCACGTCGTGAGTTCTACTTTGCCGTCATGATGGAGCGGGCTTTCAATGTAAGCTTTAACATATTTAAAATTTAAAGAATTGTACTAAAATAAATGTGTTGCAGGGCCCCGTCTTGATCGCTTCTAAGGAGGGCGGTGTGGACATTGAGGAGGTGGCTGCCACCAGCCCCGAGGCCATTCTGTATGAGCCCATCGACATTGCCACTGGCCTGACCTGCGAGCAGGCTCAGAAAATCATCCAAAAGGTCGGCCTCGGCGGCGAGGGCGAGGAGCAGCATGTCGAGATGCTCCTGAACCTCTACAAACTGTTTGTCAACAAGGATGCCCTTCTGGTTGAAATCAATCCTTATGCTGAGGACGCCCTGTCTGGCTGTAAGTAAGGGATTTCCCATTGTGTTGGCCACTTCTTTTTGTGTAACTCATCCCATTTTCTCATCTCAACCTAACTCTCATTTGTGCTTGTTCCTAATCCTGGGTGTTTGGTCTGTCTAGGCTGTAAGTATTCGTTCTAAAACCAATCCTTAGAGCTTTTTTGAAGCATTTTTTAAAAATAATTTTGATGGATTTTGGTAGTCTTTGCTTTGGACGCTAAGCTGCGATTCGACGACAATGCCGAGTTCCGTCAGAAGGAGCTGTTTGCGCTGCGCGATTGGACCCAGGAGGACCCCAAGGAAGTCGAGGCTGCCAAATACAATCTGAACTACATTGCTTTGGATGGAACTATCGGCTGCATGGTGAACGGTGCCGGTTTGGCCATGGCCACCATGGACATCATTAAGTTGTACGGTGGCGAACCCGCCAATTTCCTGGATGTTGGTGGTGGTGCTACGGCCGAGGCTGTAAAGGCTGCCTTCAAGATCATCACCTCGGATCCCAAGGTGCTCTGCATTTTGGTCAACATTTTCGGTGGCATTATGCGTTGCGATGTCATTGCCGAGGGCATTATTTCAGCCACCAAGGATCTGAATCTGAACATGCCTGTGGTTGTGCGTTTGCAGGTTAGTTTGCATGAAAATATTTATTATAAAACAAACTAATAAGAATCCATATCTTTTTCCAGGGAACCAAAGTAAAGGAGGCCCGTGAACTGATCCGCACCTCTGGCTTGAAGATTTTGGCTCGTGATGATTTGGACAAGGCTGCCGATCTGGCCGTCCATCTGGCGCAGATCGTCAAGCTGGCCCGCGAAATGAAAATGGATGTCAACTTCGAGATTCCCGACAACCAAAAGTAGGCTAAGTCAACCACCAACCACCACTAATTACACTGCAGACACAACCAGAAGAAGGTCGACAAAAGTTGAAACTACAATACTACTCAATGAAACCCAATGCCATCGCGCTTCGTAGCTTTAGCATTACTCGTAACTCGTCGGTCGAACAATTTGATGAATTGATTTTGCAAAAATGTTAAGTTTAAAAGTGTTAGCTATGTCATAGATAATTCGAATAATCCAAGAATAGTTCAATGTTCTCTCTATGCACCCGAAAATCCGTTTAAATAGCACGAGATATGAAATACATGGAACCGAAAATACCTTTGAATTGTGATTTTTGCAAAATTCATTTAATTTTTATTTATTTAAATGCGCGAAGCTGCTTTTGAGATAAGAAGCAGTTTCCGATTGTGTATTATGCTATTTAATTTTGCTTTAAATTAAAACACAAACAATCTACAATGCGGAACACTATTATTTCTATAATTTTTCTAAATTAATTCCATCCGATCCTTAGGGAGAAGGGTGGCAAGTCTGGAGGTGGTAAGGATGGGAAGAAATGTGAAAAGGGAGACGCCAAGAAAAAGGATGATAAAAAGGATTGCACGCAAAAGGAAGAGAAAAAGAAGAAGCCCAAAAAGGATGTTTGCGAAAAGAAGGAGGCCAAGAAGGATGATTCCAAGGGCAAGAAGTAGTATTCTCCATATTAAGCCAAAATCTGAACAAAATGGGATGGGCTACTGCACCCCAGATGAAGCCATAATAAAAATTCCAAATCCATGACTATATCGAATAGCGAGTTCCATCCATGAGTTCAACAGTTATTCCAGTTCCCTAACAGACTCCTCGGCCAGTTGTAAATTTATAAATATTTCCCAAATACTCTATATATATATATATATATTTAATCAAAGTTAAATCGATTGTAAGTTCTCTGGTTTGTTTATTGTGTGTTTGTTGGAGTCTTAGAATCGATCGACTAGAGATAGTATGTGGTTCTGTTCCTGTTCCCGCCAGTCAGTGTCGCCATCGCCCAGGTTTCCGGCATATTCTGTGAATGGAATCATTATCAAGGTGGTTCAATATTCTATCAACTTTCAAGTTATACCCCTCATTATGCTGCGTATAGTCTTCATGGAGGCGCCACGCAAGTTAAGTATCTGCAGGACGCGCTGCTTCACAGTCTCCGAGGTGGAACTGACCTCCAGCAGGATGTAGTCGATGCGCTGGAGCGTGAACAGGCCACCAGTCAACCGCTTAATGTAATTATTCTCCGCCTCCTCGTCCTCATCAATGCTGGGATCCTGTTCGTAAACAAATATTTGTATTAATAAAATCTCTTAAATTTAAAAATAAAATAAAGTGTTACCTTGGCCTGCTGATCAATTTCCTTGTCGATGGCCTCCACCTTGACCAGATATTTAAGGTGAAGTTCCAGCAGTCGGTCCACCTTCTCATGGTCATTCTCGGTGAACTTGGCCAACAGGCGCTGGCGGTGTGTGCCCTTGCAGTTGCGCAGCATGGAGGCAATTACGGAGGTCACGTGCTCCTCATGCTCGTCGGCGGAGATCAGACGCTGCTTGTTGCGTTTCGGCGTTTTCATGAACAGGGGAAAGATGGTGCGCAGACCCAGAATCTCAACAAACTTGTTGCAGTTGTCCCGACCATCCTGGCCCGCCATGGCATGATCCAGGACCTTGAGGGAGCCGTTGCGGGACATTTTCTTTTCGCGCAACATCAGGTTCATTAGCTGCAAGCCTTCGCCGCTCAAGAAGCGGTCGCGATTCTCACGGGCCATCAGGGCCGAGCAGAGACAGTTGAAGAGGTTCTGCATAAATTCCTGCTCCTCATTGCTGGAGGGATCGTGTCTTTTGTAAACGGCCAGTTGCTGGAGAAGCACATCCACGCCGTCCAGGGAACCCAGGAGTAATCTGTTCTCGTTTTCCGTTTGGACGAGAATGGAAAGTATTTCGCTGCAATAGAGCTTGTTGGGATCGAAGGGCGATTTGCCGCGCAGACGTTTTAGTATCCAGGCTAGAAGTCCTTGTTCCGCAGCTTCTCCCACAAACTCAGAATCGATTTCCGTCAGATTCTCCACAATAGCCAGGGTATTGTGAACGCCATCAGCTTCCTCCTTGACCTTTTCATTCAAACGCTCCAGGTTCTGGACCAGTAGAGCACAAATTTGCTCCTTTCGCAAGGCATCTATTAAGGCTTCAGCTCCTTCTTGACTCTCGCCCAGAATATCCACATCGGTGACTTCCTGAAGCAGATCCACCACAGCCACCGCAATGTCTGTGTTCTGATGCGCCAGTAATTCCAGTAAACTGTGCAAGCCGTGAAGTTCCACGAGAAGGGGATACAAGTCCGGGACCGTGGCCACGCCCTTTAGCTCTTGAATAACGTTGTGCAGCTCCACTTCCGATTCCATAAACTTGTCGGGGCTGTCGGCGAACTTAATTCGCATTTCCTGGTTCTTTAGGTTTCGCTTTTCGAAAACAAGGATCAACTTCTTGAGACTCTGTTCATCCAAGACATCTCCATCGGCTTCCTCGTTTTCCACATACTTGAGGATGTTCAGCCGCTCCTCCTCTGTTAGTTCCGGATCGAATTCGAATGCGGAACCACCTCCTGATGCTGAAGAGCCTCCAGCTTGCTTGCCATAGTTGGCAGACTCCTTGGCCTCTGCAATGCGCCGCATGCGTTTGGTTTTCTCATCGCCGCTTCGTTTCTGTGAAGGTTCCACCTCGAAATCGTCGTCTTCATCCTCGTGCGGCCTTTTGGGCGTTTGTTCCGGCTGACCAATGACATTTCCTCATTAGTTATGGTTTATTTAATGATAAAAAAACTTACCTTGAAAGCCAGCAGTTCGCCGATATCCATGATCCGTGATTTTTGCTTGGAATCAAAAAATAATAAACATTTAAGGAGGTGCTGCCGCTGCTTCTTCTTTAAGCCGTGCGCCGAGCGTTTTCTAACACTAACGTGGGTACGGTCTCACTGAAACGATTAACGATGAGGCGGGAGCTATCGATAACTTTTTAAATTGTTTTTTTGAAACCAGTTCGTAAGCAAATGAGAAAATATGGAATACAATATATGTACGATTATAAAGTAAATGAATACTACAAATTTTTAATATTCTAAAAAAAAAACTAACAGGAGGTACTTTACTAATAACTTTATTTTGTTATCCATTTCTAGTCAAAGCTTTCCCACCTGATGATTTTACTTTAGAATGAACTTATAACCTATTCCTGCCTCCGCAGGCACTTCTCGGCCCTACTCCTGCCGTTGCGGCTATGACGACAACTTTACAAAAATTCCTATAAGCCAAACCCCAAAAAATAAATTTACAACTGCTTTAAGCCCAGTAATTCGGCAAGTTGTTTCAGTCGACTTGCCCGTGTCTGAAGCCGTCTCTTTCGCTCTGTTGGGCTTTCTTCCAGCCAGTCTCAAGCCAGTTCGTCAGCATGATTTTCAGTTGTTGTTGTTGGTATTTCTGCTGCGGCTGCTGCCGCTTTTTTTCCTACTCTTTTCTGGCTTGTTTCATGTTGACCCACTTTTCGTGGCAATACGTGAGCCAGCACAGTGGGCCTAAACAGCGGTGAAAGCTCACAATGCATCCGTTTGGAGACTATAATTTTTTTTAGTTATAGAATTCTATTTAATTTTTGATTATAAATATTCAATTTTTTTTATAAACTAGTTACTGTTTCATAAATAACTAAAAGTATTTAAATTTATAACTTTTTCAAAGTAGTAAAAAAAAGGGATTTGGTTCTAAAATATTTAAATTTCAAACCTAGAACTATTTAAAAAAGGAACAAACTAAAAACCAATTATTTTTCTATAATTTTCTCTCTTTTATTTCCTTATGTTTCATTTATTGTTTTAAAATGTTTCTGCTTTTTAATGTGAAAACCCCACTGTGCCGGGCAAAAAAAATCATAAACTGAATTGCCAACAGGTTATGGCGACGACCACGAAACCGTCGACTCCGAACCTCTGGGGCTGGCTTTTTGTTGGCATTGCCTTGCTGTTGCTCGACTGTTGGCCAAAGAGTAGTAAAAAGGGCCATGACAGTGACACTTTGAAGTTTGAGGTTAAATCGTCAATGTTTAGGCCTTGGTCTTGCTCTTCGGTCGCCGATGTTATTGTTGTGGTTTGCTCTTTTTGCTCTCTCGATATGCTTCAACATAATTCGTGCGGTATTTATGGGGATTTTCTGTACGTCTGTCTCTGTTTTCAGGCTCTTCATCTTCCATGCAAATGGCTGGAAACAAAAGACTTTAGCAACAAACTTGCCAAGAAATATCTTTGAACTCACGCATGCTCACACGTTTTTATTTAGCTTATTAATTAATTTTTTTTTGTTATTGTTTTTGCTTCTGCACAACCGACACACACTCAAGCACACACAGTCATAGACACAAGCTTACATTTGAAAAGTGAAATTTCAAAGTAGAACAACCGGCAACAACAACTCACGTATAGAGGTTCCAATAAAAATGGGGTCACTTGTTACTGGCCAACCACTGGCCCCCCAAACACCCTCCCCCGTTGCCGTCTCTGTCCTAACCCCAACGATACCCCACTGACCATTGAACGCATAGATCACGCGCCGTCTGTTGTTGTTGTTGTGTATGTTGTTTTTGTGTTGTTGCCGTTGTGCATCGTAAATTAATTGCAGTCTCGTCGCGTCTTTTTTTTTATATTTTTACATTTAGTTGGTTTTTTTTGGCTTAAATCGTTCTCAGTTGGGTTTTAGGCCATCCATCGTGTGCGCCATTAAAATGCACCACGAACTTGTCAACGAAATGGAATAAATTGTGAAATATTTCTCTTCTCAGAATTCAAGACTTTCGCTTTGGCCAAAAGTATGGAAAAATACGTTAAATATTTTAAGATTTTAGTTTACAACTTTTGGAAATATTTCTTTCGTTAACCCCTTTGCCTCAAAAAGTTCTTCTTGCTATTGATCTTGTTACAATATTGCCTAGTTTTTTTTTTAATATTCTTTCCTCTTTTTTGGTTCGTAATAATAATCAAGTTTAATTGTGTATTTCATAAGATTTTCGTTGTGCACTGTTTGCTTTTGCTGCTAATTAAAGTTGGCTGAGCAGCTAAAAACAAAAAACTAAAAATACAAAATCAAGAAAACCAGAACAGCACTTAAATATTAATAATTGATTATAATGTTATTACGGACATGATTTATTCTTTTTTGAATCTTGGCCAGCCGTTCGGCGAGGCGTGAACAAATTTAAGCTTCAGTCAAGAGGACTAGAGCAGTGGAAATCGTTGCAAAATCAAAAGTAATACTAGGGTTGTGCATTTAATTTTTTTAATTGCCGAAAAAAGAGCGAGTGCATAAATTATGAATGTTGCGAAATGTTAACAAGTCCAAGTCCAGATTTCCTCTACTTCCTGCACGCTAGCCATTTCCGTTCTGCTTTTGGAGCTCCTCTTCCTGCCTCCCCCCATCGTCGCCTCGCATCAATCAAAGACTCAATCAAGAGCAAAAGTAATCAAAACTGATAGCAACACAGCCCCAACAAATGAGGAAAACACAAAATGAACAAATAAACACAATAACTCACACACTGAAAAATCATGCGAGTAAATAAAAAAGGGAAGAAGTTGGTGCGACAAAAGCAAATATGGAGGCAAGACAAAATCGTTAAAAATAACAATATATGTGTATAAAAAATGGCATAGCAGATGCAACATTAACAACATCACCACCAACCAATGGGCAAAACACAAAAAAGTCCAACCAAACAAACAAACAATACATACACATACAAAATAGAAATGGAGAGCAACTTTCACCCAAGGTCATTGTGTCTTTAACTGCGCCAAAGCTCAAAAACAGCAAGGCAGCAGCAATACAGGCAACAGCAACACCAGCAACTAGCAACATCGGCAACAGCCACGGCTGGACAATATTAATATGCGACGGCGGCAAGGCACGACCGTCCTAGCCAACAACGCCCGACGTCCGATTTACTATTTTTCACGAAAAGAAGTCCCACAAAGAAAGGTTAACCAGTGGCGATTGCAGCCTAGTTGCACTTGCAATTTAAATAGTTTCCAGTTGCAGCAGACACTACTCAAGGGCATATTCAAATCTGGAGTGAAAAGGAAAGCTTTTATGTTATGTTTTTTTGCTTTTTATGATTAGTACTATATAATTTTTTTGATTATACTTTATTTAGAAGCTACTACTGTAATAATACTAGAGAGGTGTTATATATTAGCTTGTTTATTAAATGGTTTTAAATATTTCTGTATAAATAAAACACAATAGATTTTAGTTTTCCTCATTTCTACCTCCCATAGTACAACCTTACAAAAATGTAAATTTAAAAGATTAAAGGTAGAGTTAGAACAGTAACACTAGTTATAGAATAAGGCTATGTGTGTTTATTTTACAGACTCAGATTTTACTCATACCTTGATAATATTTTATTATAGATAATACTTATATGATCATGTACTCTTGTATATTTATTTTATATTTCCTTTTAATTATTATAACATGAACCATTATTTCTAATCTCCATCTTCTTCTGAAGCTTCTTAGGCCAACCTAAATGCCTGCTTAGGCATTTCAATCTTGAGGAATCCCCCATTATTCATATTATCTAGCTAGACACCTGGATCTGGGTCATGCTTAGCCACATTGTTAGCTGGATGCAATTAAGTGGCCGAAAACAGAAAGATGAGAGAGTTGAAGATGACTTTTAATTGACATAAAGTTTAATTAAAAGTCTCGAGAAGAAAATAGATGAAAGAGATTCCGCAGAGGTTGGTATTTTAGGTTTCTAATGTATTTTAAATTATGTTATTAAGAGATGGCAGAAAAATATAAAATCGGAAGAGAAAAGAAGTGTAAAAAAACATGAAATAATTGAAGTTAAAAACGCTTTTGTTTGTTATTTAAAATAGGATCTTTCAAACATTTTTTTGTATATTTTTTTTTTGTTAAAAATAGTGTGTGAATATAACAAAAGCTTAACCCTTGACTGGCGACGGTCGCCGCACGTAGCACAGTTTGATTAGAACAAAACGAAGCCACAGCAAGAGCACACAGCTTCACTGGCATGATGTTGCATAAATTTAAGTGCCACAGATACAAGGCGCAAGATACAGAAACGAGTTACAGATACATCAAGAAGCAGGCGCGCCAGCAGATCTGAAGCTCTGAAGAGTCAGCGGCATAGAAATGCGGATGCGAACCACAGAGTCTCGAGTCTGGAGACCCCACTCCAGATACAGATACAGATTGTATGTAACTATGTATGTAAGTATCTATATACCGGTGTCTACCTCCAGACTGGCTGCGGTGAAAGAGCAAAATATCTTAGTATCTTAGCTGGGACTGTTGTTGCTGCTTCTCCTGCTCATGCTGCTGCTGCTGCGAGTTAACATTTCAAATCCGCTGCGGTTCTCTGTGGCAAGAAACGAGAAACGAAACGAGTCTGGAAATTGGGTCAGTGGCACAGTGTGGTATGCATGGCATTCTCTGCCATAGTATCAGTGTATCCGTATAGTTCGTATCTGTATCTGTACAGTATATACGTCGTGTGGGTTTCGGGTCTGGTGCCGCCGTCTTTCTTTGGCTCTTTCTTCGCCTGGCTTTCATTGTGGTCAATATAATGATTCTACCCGACTGGTTTGGTTTTCAAGACTTGGCTCGCGGTTTGCTGGTTGCTGGTTGCTGGCTGCTGGTGTCGTCGCATATTTTTGTGGCTGCTACTCCATTTTACTTTAACTCTTTTTTTGTAGTTTTGTGTGGCCGAACGTGCCTCAATGCGACGCTGTCAGGTTGCTAATGGGGACCAGAAGAGGAGACAACGGGGCGTGTGAGGCATATGCAATGCGGCGGCAACACCCAAATGTCGCTGCCTCAGACTCCAAACCGACTCCGATTTACATTCAAATGTCCACTCATTAAGCATACGCCATGTGGTCCGCCCCTCCAAAATGAAAACACCATTGCATCCATAGGCTTAACTTGTTTTGCACATTTTGAATGACATTTTGCGTTTATTTAAATATAATTAATTAAATAATAATCATTACAATTAGGAAATAAATATTTACAAATCGAAATATGTTGAACAAAATTCAAGTTTGCTTTTGTAAAAATAAATAAAATTGCACGATAACTAAAATAACACAATTAATATTGTCTCCTTTTGTTTATAGAAATTAATTATATTTTTATGCTAGCATTAAATTATTTTAGAGTTTATTCAATTGATGGTTTTCTTGTGCTGAGTGGGTTAAGGATAAATAATTTCGGGTATATCGAAAATAATTTAATATTAATATTAACTTTAAAACTTTAGCAACAAACTTTTTAAAAAACAAATTAACAACGATATTAGCTAAATTTAATTGATTTTATTACTTGAGTACTATTTCTTTTTATGCTTTATTTTTTTGTTTGCAAGATAATTATTATGAATAATATTTTGCCAAGCCCGCTACGAGTTTTTACACTAATTTATGTTTTAAAATTATCAATTTTCCATTGGTTTGTACATATTAAAGTATTTAATTTAAAATTGTTATTGCTTTCTTGTTTTGCGTTTAATTTAAATTATAATTTGTATGCGTCACTTTTTCAGTTTCTAACATGATGAGGTAAAGACAATATATGAAACTTTATACAACTTCCACTTCCTCTTAAACTGGTACTATTGTCTAGATTAAAGTATTAATTATTACCTGTGCCAGGACCTTGGATGCTCGAAGCACGCGACCCTGCATCAAAACAGAACAACAGTTGCAGAATGACAATTGGACGCTTCGTTGTTCTTAGATTGCTTGTGGTTCCTTTGGCTCATCGGATTGCGAAAGGATATTGGTGATAATATAGTTTATACCTCAGGTATTCTATACTTTAATTGCCTGTTTGGAGGTAGTAGGTTGATCTTTCGCTAGCCTCACAAAACTCCTAACCAAAAGCTATGAACTGGACGGGTATGGTATTAACTTGATGAATTAAATAATGATTTTGCTAACTTAGTTAAAGCCTACATACTTGAACGCTTTCATTTAATAAACTATTAAATGTCATAGCAATTTTTTGATAATTTTCCTAACGCATTGAAAAGTTTCCTATAATTTTGACTAATAACCATTAAGCAAAGAGATCAAAAGCAACCAACAACAACGAATATCAAATGGTGTGTGTATGCCACTGCGTGACCTATTCAAAAATTGTATTCTATATATTCCAACGGATATATAGGAGCTAATAACCAAATATCGAACAGATATTAACGATATTAGCCTGGCCCAGCACTGGCACACACGCACCCAGAGAAACAGGTGGAATCCAACCAACAGGAGGCACTTCCTTGGGACAGAAAGCGACTCCCTCACACAGAAAGTATTGTATTTTTTGTAATCACAAAGAACTTGCTTCCAAGGCTCTATGAATGGATAACTTTTTCTGTGCTGGCATGGACTCCCAGCCCGGTATGCTACTCTTATTGCTCGGCCATAAAATGGAGCTCCTTGGGGAGCGTCAGTCACGCCCAATTCTCTTGTGTATCTGTTGATGTTTGAGCAGGTGCGCCTTCTGGCGGAAGGCCTTGGCGCAGACGTCGCAGCGGAAGGGCTTCTCGCCCGTGTGGGTGCGAAGGTGCACCTTAATGTTGGATTTGTTGAGGAACCCCCTGTTGCAGATGCTGCACCGATGCACAGGCTTCTCCTTGCCCAGCAGACCGCTTAAGTCGCTGGCACTGAAGCCGGATGGCGAGATGGCGCTCATTTGGGCAGTGGTGGGTGGACCACCGCCATCCTGTTGTTGCTGTTGTTGTTGTTGCTGCTGGTGCTGTTGGCTGGACTTCTTTTGGGAGCGCGATCGCTTGGCTTTTGGCGTCCCAGTTCGCAGTTCCGCCCCCGTTGTGCTGGCCGTTGTGGTGTGTGGGTAGTTTCCGAGAAGATCCGGCGAACAGAGGCCATTATCCTTGAGGGATAGACCGGAATTGGGCATGGAATAGCCGCCCTGCTGGTGGGGATTCCCCGTGGGCTGGTTGGCTGTCGGATTGCTGAGATAGCGGGGATTGATCATCAGGCCGTTGGGGTTGTCCGTGGTGCTGACCACCGATCCTGGGGGGCTGCAGCTGCTGCTGGTAGCCGCCGCCAGCTCGTTACAGTATGAGGTAGATGTGGGCGCCTGGGCCTCTCCCTTGCCGCCCGGCCCGCCTTGGCTGGAGCCGCCGGAGTTGGGCGGTCCGTTCTGCAGGCGATTATGCAGCAGCGGCATATATCCGTGACTCAGCAGGCTTTGGAGCGTCGAACTACTGGCATGCATGGGCAGTGGGCTGTGGGGCAGCATAAAGTCCGCCAGGGAGTCCTGCTGCGACACTAGTACCTTTGCCGACTCCTGCTGTATGCAATTGCCGTCGATCCAGGCATCCAGGTCCATCCAACTGTCCCGTGTGTCGTTGCCATCGTCCTTGTCCAGCTGATTTGGCACCGTGGTATCCGCAATGGCAGAACCAATAATTGCGGCTATGTCGTCAATGGAGTTCATGTCCACGTACTCTGTCAGATCCTTGTAGATCCTGACACCACTACCATGCAGGGAATCGGCCACTTGGTCGATGGGTGTTAACGTGGCTATGCTGGGACCGGCTCCATTGCCGTTTCCGTTTGCCGATCCGCCGTTCATTACGCAGCTATCGGCCACGGAGTAAAGCTTAGAATCTAGTTGACTATCGGCGAAGAGCTTCACGTCCGTCAGACAGGCGTCAGCTCCCGCTCCACCTCCTCCTGCATTGCCACTCAGGACACTTTCCGGCAGGCAGGTGGAGGATGAGACTATGTTGTGCTCATTAGAATTGGAGTTGCTGGCGTTGCTGTTGTTCCCGCCACTACTGCCTCCACCGACACCCGCATTCGACTGCGTTGTGGACGTGGGATTCGCCTGGTTCTGGGCCTGGTAGGCACTTTGCATGTAGTTGTTGTTGCTCTCATCGGGCAGCCTTTGAGCAATGGCATGGTAGTGGTGTCCGGAGATACCGTTTATCGACAGGTGACCCGTATAGCCAGTAAATGGCGGCAGGGGCTTCAAATCCGACAGTCCATTCAATGTGGAACCATTCAGCAGGAGGTTATCCAGCACATCCAGCGAGTTCTTCTGATCCGTGTCACTCTGCAGGGAGTCCAGGTCGTGCTCCAGCAGCAGCTTGTGACCATCGAGTAGGTACTGATCCTGGCCAGAGGTCTGCGGGGGACCCCAGCACGGACTCATCAGCAGGCTTTCAACTTCCGATTCACTTGGGCCGTTCATGCTGCAAAACTTCATTGTCAGTGGACCCAGGCGATCGAGGCGAATCTTGTGGCGATCCGTGGATTAGCAGGTCTCTAACTATCCAAGGATCTGGGATTTAACTGGAATTAATAAAAAAAAGGAAAAGGTATAAGTTTAGAAATGAGTTTAAAAATGTACTAAACCTAAAACTATCTACAAAGTTGATTCTACTTCATGCGGATTAGCCTAAAAATTAATAACCTACATTTTCAGGGTTTTTGTTAATAATGAAATATATAAAGGCTAAAAAGGCTTGGTTTGTGAATATTAAATATTAATAACAATCTACTTTCTTTAGGAAAATTTTAGTTAGAGATAATCTAAAAGCTCTACCAAGCCTTATACGATTTGTAAACCTGTTTCATTCACAGATACTTGACCCTAACCCTTGATAGATCCAAAGATGCTGGATAAGCCAAGATAGAAATTAAGCTTACACTGGGCTTCCGCTGTTTTGACCCCACCTTTAACTAATTAATTTCAGGTGCTGCCCCAGCCCCCCCACCAACCTCTGGCCGGAGTTTGCTGACAACCTGAAACATCGATTCCGATACAGTGATAGCCCTTGCTAATGATTGTTTAATATGAAAATATTAAACAAAAACGTTAGACAAAAAACATGTTCTGGCCCGCCCGTTGACTAAAATATATATTTCCACGGGGCTTTCGGCTTCCCAGCCGAAAAGAGATTAAGTTAAGACATTCGATAAGCCTTAATGTCCATAAACAAGAAGAAGAGAGGGCCATAAGTAGCTTGGGATGCATAAGAAAACGTAGAAGAAACCAAAATCGATACCAGAATCGGCCAATAATAATTTCCGAGCGGTATTTGGGTCAAAACATTAATAATCAGTTAAATTAGCATATAAATTGATGGAGCTAGAAACGGTGCGGGGTGCATGGTGCGGAGAAAAGGGGGGTAGGGAGTGGTAACGCATTCGTCTACGAATGTGTGATCGAATTTGATATTTGTATTTCGATGGTGCACGCTTGATTGGAACCCAAGTGGAAGTTCTCCAAACGGAGCCCCAAAAAAAAGCAACAACATGTAAAAGGCCGACAACGAAAGCACAGCAAAAACAACAACAACGAAAAATCACAGGTGTAGACCAAAAGAAAGAGAAGAAGAAACAAGTCGTCCCACACTTTGTAGCACAACAGCCAAACGAGTGCACTAAGAAAAAATATTTTGGTAAAGAAATAATAGGTATAAATTTATTTTAGTTTTATTTTAACTAAAATAAAAAAAAAAATAAAAATATTAAAATCCGTTTTTCAACAAAAATACATTTAAAAATTAGCATTTTTTTATCGCAGTGCATAAGTTTATTTGGTTAACTAGTTGGAACACAAAACGAAACGAAATAAAAGAAACGGTAAAGCAATAACATCGTTCCCCCCCAACCTCCTTTTCTTTTTAGCCATCTTGCCATCCCTCTTTCTCTTGTACATAAACAGTTAACTTGATTTCGAGGCTTGGCTTGATGAAGAGGAAGACAAAATAGAAGAAGCAGAAGAGGCCGAAATCAAAGCTAGACATTGTCCAGCTGCAAAGAGAAAATTTCGCTTTCAACAGGTTGGCGCTGCTTAGCTTAGCAACATCGGTGTTGCCGACTTTACTACCAACATGTTGCTGTTTAGCCTAGCATGCGGAAAGAAGAAGCAGAAAAAAAGCTGCTCGGCTGCCGTCGACGCAGGCGCAGCTAAGCGTGGCGGCAGAGAAGCTGAAAAACTACCGTTAGCCGAGAGACGTCGAGAGATGGCGAGAGACCTGCTGACATACTTCCGTGCTGTAGCTTAGCAACATGGGCCAACAACACGGGCCAGAAACATTGGCCAGCAACATGTTGATAGTTTACCTGGTGGCAGTTGGATAGATGTTGCGAGCTTATGGATTTTGGATTTTCTTTCATGATATTACTTAAAATATATTATATTTAAAATATGAAAACATGGTAATAAATATTATAATATTTAAATTATTTTTTCTAGTCAATTACATTGCATTATATATTTTCCAAAAAAATATAAAGTGCTCATCATATATACCACCTATTTCTGTAATATTTAGGATCTTGATGGATTTTGTAGACCCTTTGACTTTATGGCCCAACTGGGAGCTAAAATTGGCGTGAAATATTTTATGGCAAACAAAAACCCCTCATTCTGAGTGCCTCTGTGGCTCCAATTCAGATTCTATGGCCGAATCTGACCCCCCCATTGTTATTGTTTGACTGCGCGTCAGATTTTACACATTTCTGTTTGGCCGGCGTTTTATTGTTGCTGCTACATGAGCATTTTGTGTTTTAATGAGCCACATTGTAACGGTGGTCCGCTGCTCCGTTTGCATTTGAATGCCCACCGCCAACACACAGCCACAGATACATTTTCAGATACAGATACACGCACACACCGTCACCCAATTTTGCGGGGGCGCGCCGCACAATGGGCCGCTATTGTAATTTAAGCTTGTAAATGGTCAGAAGACCCACAATGGGCAATGTCAGCTGACGGAGCCGGGCCGTGGGGGCATTATAATTACTTTTGTGTCAGTCAACTGGGCCGAAAGCTCTTAACGGTTATTTCGAACGAATTAGTGCGAATTTTTGACAGCTGACTGATTTTATGACCTCTCAGGTGGCCGAATATTTATATTTTTTTTTGGCTTGGTAATTTTTTGAAAATAATTTAATTATGTATGAAGATAAAATATGATTTTTAATGGGAATTATATTAAGACATTTATAAAATATGTAGAAATTAATTTTGATCATATACATTTTGATCATATACAAACAAATATTTAGCCCACTTAAGCTCAATAACTCCATTTATGGATAATTCTGTTAATTTGTGAAAAGAAAGCCTACTTCCTTATACAGAACCAATTAAAAACTATCTCTCACTATCTATTCCAGTGTCGGATTTAGAAAGATACTCAAAGCAATCCCCTTCACGAATCGCTGGCTAATTTCCTGGCCAATTGATCATTTGGCTAGAGAAACGCGAAGACAAAAAAATATCTTATTTAACCATCTAACAGGCAACTAAGTGTCTGACCCGAGCAATTGACCAGCGAAATGAACTCTAAACTGCATCAACAACACGGCCCGAACAACAGCTGCTGACGAAAATTGAGTTCTTAACGTTTCCTAGGAGAGAATCGAAAAAAAGAAGAAAAAATTAAGAAGAAAAATCTTAAAACTCGAACGGAAATTGGGCTTAACCTTTGGCGGCAATCAACTTCCGTTTAAATGTTCGAACACGATGCGGCGGCAAAGGTCAAAACGTTTTGGCCAAAGTCAAGCTGCAAACACTTTCCTCCGCCTCCTCACGGATCCAAAATGAAAAGAAAAATCAGGTCGGCATTGGCGGTTTTTTTTTTCGCCGCCCCCCTCTTGGCGGGAGCTTGTGAGTTGCGGAGGGCGGATGACTGGAAAAAGCGAATGAAAAATTATTTGATTGCAAAATTTACAACCGCAATGATTTCCACTTGGACGGGGCAGCATCCACACGAAAATAACAAAAAAAAAAAAACTGCACGTAGCAGCTACCACAAGGCTGGCCTGTAGATGCAACAAAACTTTGACCAAGACCGAGAAGCCGAAAAAAGCCTCGGAAACGTGTGGCTTGCATTGAGGTCGCCATCAGTCATTGAAGGCTTTTTGCCGCGATGCTGCGGATTGGCCCACTCGGATGTGGATGCAACAAATTGCTGGCTAAGAAGAAAAAAAACGAGGCAAGTAACAAAAGTCGAAAGAATGAATGGCCGGCGGATGAGATACTCTTGAGGTCTATTCTCTTGCCAAGAATAAAATGGTTAAGATTTATTGGGGAATCATTTTTCTCTGGCTTATCTAAGAAGTTATGGTTTTGACCCATTTGGTTAATTTATATTTCCCTTATACTAATTTTCCTACAGAGTTTAGTTTTAGGTATAAATTTTGGGTTATTTTTTTTAATTTATCCCAAATTTTCAGTCCGGGTTATATTCATTCTAAGTAAAGCTCTTCTTCATAAAGAGCATCTACAGATCTAGGAAACCTCGTTTGGTAAACTGGAAACTGAAAAGTAGGAAACTGGCAGCAGTGGGAAACGTGCTTCTTAGCTTGATTCTCGATTCTCCATTCTCAATTCTCAATTCTTAGTTCCAGTTCTTCATCTCCTTCGGTGATGCCTTGGCAGCTGCGCACTTGACCGCACATGTGGCACGTGTGGTGGATGGATGACGGAGCTGTGTGAATTGTGGCATGGTGCCCCTGCTGAATGACTAACTAACCCAGAGACTGAGACGGGCCAAGCCCATCTGCAGACTTGCCACAAATAGGCGCAGCACTCGGCTCGAGACACTATCCAGATCTTGTTTTCTCAAAAGGTGTAGATTCGGGAATGGTCAAGAGGAAAGACTCAAACGTGAAGACTTTGGCAAATGGGTGGGCGTGTTTTATGGTGCCTGGTTGCCTCTAGGCCATTCCTTGTTGTATATCGAATGAGTTGGTAAATGCTCGATGGCCTGACTATGACTATCTATCCATATATCTGCTGCACTTGAATTATGTGGCTCAAGGTGTAAATTAGGTTTTAAATGAACTATGTAGGTGATGTGGATCGGGTTTGGTGGAAACCAGCCATGCTTTAGATTGAATGAATATTTTATGATTCGATTAAAAGTCAGAATTCATAATTTTAGAAATAATAATAATATCCTTCTTAAAACTTAACAAGCTATAATTTTTCTCTACCACTTCCCATCTGTTTAATTTCGTCTGGTGTCTTGACCATGAATGTCGGAACTTCTGGTTGAGGCCAGCACTTGACTCGCCACAATATACATAAGTTTTGGGAGCTGTCGTGCCTCTTGATCGGCGGCGGCGACTACAACTCCCGTTAGTTGCGGCTTCCACTCCCTTTTTTTTTTGTGTTTTGGCCAACATGTGTCCGACCAGCCAGATGACAAGCTGGCGATAAACCCGGGCTCGAACTCGGCAGAAGGCTTGGCTATATTTTTATGACTGAAGCTGTATGAGATGTGTACTGGACCCTCCACGCTGATACACTCCCTAGAGGCCGGTGCCTACTGGACCCAGGCAACAACTATGCAAATTTGTGTATTTTTTTTATGATGCTTAACTATTTTTAGTCGCTTTTTTTGTTGTTATTTAAATGTGACGCCCGCGTTGCTTTTTAGCCAGGTACCATGGTATGTGTGTTTTTGTGCGACTGTGCGTGTTGGGACTCTATTATTATTATTTTTCGTGAGTTTGTTGTGGTCATCTAAGAGCAACAGCAGCAACAACAACAACAATGACAACAAGTCTGGCAAGTCCCAAAAAGCATTGCCCAGGTCAGCGAACTTTTTTCTTCTTTCCCAGCTCTGTGAATAATATTTGCGTAGTTTATTTTATTTGTAGTTGTGTTTTTTTTTGGTGGTTGTGCAGCTAAATGTGCAAATTAAACATAAAAGTCCGCGCCTGGGAGATTCCTTTAGTGGGCACGAGTTCGTTTTAAAAATATATCTGAATTCATATTCAGATATTTGTTAATTTATTTGATCATCTTTGGCTGATGGCTAATAATCTAAAGCTGTTGAGTTAATAAAGTGAACTTTTTGGCCTAAGAGGATGAGGGTTTAGGAACCAAGATGATTTTTTCTTAATAAAAGTATGAAGTAAATAATCAACGTACTTAATAGTTGATAGTTGTTAATTTAAAATTATTCCCGTCACTTAAAAATTTCTTTTAAACCAAAAAGTTAACGCTTCATCCCATTTAATCTTATTAAATTAGTACATGAAATTAAATCTTAATTATCTAAAGTCGAAGCTTAAAGCTTAACCCAAAGAACATAATTTCGTTTCATCTTTTGTAATTGATATGTTATGCTCGCCTCCTCATCTCCTAACCAATCCGGCCCAAAAAAATAAAAGAAGACTAAGCTTGAGCTGCTCCTCACCTCTTAATTAAAGATCAAATCGGAGCCGATTGTGAGCTCAATTTTGAAATTCAATTAAAATGAAGGAGAGAAGGAAGTGTGAGAGAAAGATGTAAGAAGTACAACAAAATCTTTAACCCAAAATGCAACTTAATGCTTAGCGAATTTGTTACGCTCATTGACGATGCCAGACAGCTGAAAGAGTTGTTGTAGCTCCCCTACTGTTTTTGTTGCTGTTGCTGTGCCTATTTCGATGGCCATCTCGTTCTGGCCTGCTGCCATCTCGCTTCCACCGAGCTTTGTTTTTTGGGGGGAACTGCTGCTTGCCGAATGAGTAAGCGTAATTTTGCGTCATCTAACGGTACAAACAGCCGCTACTGTTGTTGTTGTCTTTTATTTTCATTTTTATATATTCTGATTTTTTTTTGTTTTTGTTTTTGGCCGCCATTGCCATTCCGTTCTTACGGCCGATTGTTGTTGTATTTTAGACCATTTTTGTCAGACAAGCAAACGGTTTTATGATTTATTTTTAGCTCGTCCAACGGCTTGGCAACAGTTGCCGGCCTCCCTTCTTGGCCTCCCCTCATACCTTCCTCACTTCTTACCAAAAAAAAATTAAAGTTTAAGTGCTAGCTGTAAAACGAAAAGAGGAGGAAAAAGACTTTTTACTTCCGACTGCAGTTGGGAAGTTCGTTTTGAGGTCGCTTAAAGACGCTTAATTGTTTTGGAATCATTATTTTCTGTGGGCTAGTGGCTTTTTGAATGCACATGGCGTATACGTGATGTGGGAAGCGTCGGCTTAAATGGGGGAGAGCAGTGGGATTGGAATGGCGATCAATGGATGAAGAAAAATGGTTTAGAAAATCATAAAAATGGCAGCAAGATTAAACATTCTTCAGATACTACCTTAGGCTTACGAAGAGTATTTTTAATAACATTTTTAAGGCCACTTAAAGTTCTTTTTACTAAAAAACATTCTAAAAATATCAAAAAACTCATGAAAAAGTCCATTAGAACTCCATTTATAAAAAATAAAACTAAAAAAGGAGCTTGTACCTCTATACGATCTTTAAAAAAATCAACCAATAATATATTAAAAAGATTAATAAACTTATAGAATCATAAAAAAAAAGTAAAGTCATAAGTTAAAGAAGAACATTCCTTGGCCAGTTCTAATTAGCAAGATAGGATGCCTTGTCACTGCCCATTAGTGGCATGTGAATTTCACAATGGCCATAAGTAGAACCCTTCAGGCACTCCCAGCCCAATCTCCATCCAGACTCCCTCCTAACCGCCCCCTCTACCCCGCCCACCTGCGCGTCTGTAGGCCGTCTATTTGTATTTCATAACAGGTGAGTAATATGCGAACAAATCGGAAACGAATTCGGTCAATGACTTTTGCCTGATTTGTTTATAAGCCAAAATTGAGAATATTCTTCTGATTCGCGGGGCCGTTGACTTGAGGAATTTCGGTATGTGTGTTATTATTTATTTTTGGACTTAGTTTTGAGTCAAAACCTTTGATGCTAGAATATTCATTCATTACTTACTGTTACGAAATTGCAGCTTCAGCTAATGAACATATTGAACATCAATTCCAAAAATGTATCAGGGTTTATTATATTTTTTAGTCCGACTGTTCTTTTTGTTTGAATTAATCCTTTACGGTCAAGTTCAGTTTAATCCTTTGGGTGCAATTTAAAATGTATTTATTATCTTTCAGTTTTTAGTTTAACTTTTGGATTTTAATCTTAAAGGGAATAGAGGTTATAGAATAGATAAAAGCCAATCACCAAACGAAAATAAAAATAAAATGCAAGCATTAAATAAATAAGGCCAAGCAAAATGCGGGTAAGTAAAGTAGGTGAAATATAAAAAATAAAAACATAATATTTTTGTATACTCACAAAAACAATGGGAGGAAGACATAAAATTATGCGTAAAATAATGAACGGGATGTGGTACGATCAGACTGTTTATATAAAATATGGGATATAGAATTAAATTGGAACCCTGCGAGCTTAGATGATAGTCCCGTTTATGGAAAGAGGTTTATAAAGATCCCAATTTTTTTTTAAATATTTTTCTTTGCGTATATACAATATTTTATTTGGAGTATAAATAATTCCGTGGTTTTCGTTTCTTTTTTTGTTTAAGAATATTTACAACAGGAATGTATAAACTTTGTATTTGTTTTGAATTTTAACTTTTTTGTTAATTGTAATTCCTTGCTGGTGTTGTTTGTATTGCACTGTTTTTTTCTTTTATATAATTTTCGTTTTTCACAATTTTTAGCACTTTTCTGGTTATACCAATTTGTGTAACTTTATTTGGTTTGTATTGGACAATTTGTGTAACTTTTTGTCAACCATTTTCACAATTTTTCTGCCTCATTTTATCCATAGTAATATTGAAACTTTTTTGCTATTTTTGTTCACTTTTTATTCGGTTTTTTTGCTGTGGGCTTGTTCTAATTTCTGTTGCTTGCTCTTTCGATTATTGCCACTTCACGTGTACGTGTGGTAGTTTGAATGAAGTTGAGGAAGATATCCACGTCCACAATGAAACCGAACCGAAGAAACGGGCACGCGAAAAATAGTGTGCGGCACTGCGCTGAAGAATCCGCACAAATCCGAAGACGTCAACGGTAGAGATACAAATGTGCGCAGGCGCAACACGAAAGAAATTCGATCGGTGGAAGCGCGAAGATACAAAGATACAAGCGCCAGAGAGCGCAACATGTTCGAGCCGAAGACCGGAGAGCCAACTTGTTGCAACAGGTGGTCGAGGTCGAGTTTGAGGTAGTTCAAAGTCAGGGCTAAGTTTGTTTATGTTGTGAAAAGTCAGAAAATATAAATAATACTAGTAAAATATATAAAAAATATATAGAATATACTTTATTTAGAATTAAAAACCCATGTTTATTCTGTTCTAACTATTTAAGATCATACCTGTTCGAACCTAAGTAGGCTGATCTTTCTCTCTCTCTTTTTCTCTATTACCAACTTTTTCTCTCTCCGAGTCGCATACAACTTGACCTACTTAACAAGAATTTAAACATTTTTTCCTGTTATTCCGCCTTGTAAACATGTTGCCAGCAATTTACAGTTTACCGGGCTCCACAGTTCCGCCAGCAACATGTTGCTACGGACTGGGCCTATACTTATGCATATTTTGTTTTTTGTTGTTATTTTTTGTTGTTCAATTGTTGTTGCATTTCCTCTTTGGCACTTGATATTGTTGTTGGGGGCTGATTGTAGTTATTGCTGCCAATATTGTTGTTGTTTCATTTGCAGCGCTTGTGCAGTTAACGGTATCGCTTCGAAAATGAAAGCTCGAAGCAGCGGCTTACAGGTTGCCTTGTTTTGTGTGAATTTTTGTGTTTTTGCTCACGACTTTTTTTTGGTCTCAGTGGTTGTTGTGATTTTTGTTAATTCGATACACTACCCAGTTTCTGGGGTATATTAATACATAGTTTTAAAAGCAGGAAATATTTTATAATGTTTATTAAAAAATGTGTATACTTTGGAATTTTAAGGCTTAATTTTTATTAATAGCCAATATAGAAAATTTAAAGAAAGTGTATTTGTAAATTTAAGTTTATATGTATGTATGTATTATCATTAGACCTACTGCTGACTCGTACCGCCATTAGCATAAACAAGAGCCGGCTCATCAACGTGTTGACCAAACTGCAACTGCGTCACTATGGTTTCGGCCTCTTCGGGTACTTTCCCCGCCACCTCCTCTATATCCGTCTGAATTGTTTGCCATGTTTATGCCGCATGATTTGTTTTTTAGCTGCTACAGCATCATCCTCTCCATTCCACTCCCTCTGTTGACTGTCTGATTTTTTTTCACTGGAATTAACTTGCATTTTTTATTTGGCCAAAGTATTTTATTTGCATGTTGTCTACTTTTTTTTTCATATGAACTATATTTTCTTTATGTTTGCGTGCGTGAGTCATGGTAGTTAAATAAAAAATTTATCTTGGGATTGTCTTGAACTTTGTCACCTACTTGAAAGACAAGGGAAGTTTTCATTGCCAAGTTTGTTGCCTAAGTCTTTTGTTCGGCTCGATGGCAGATGATTTTTTTGGCTAAACAATGGATGGAAAAAGAGTGGTAGTTTATAATAGTTTGATTAAATGCATTAATAAAACGTAGGTTAATTAAATGCAAATACCATTAAATAAATTTCGATAATTATTTCTAACAATATAATATACCTTGAAAAAAACCTTTTAGTATTATGCGGGAGCCATGGAAGAATAAACATTTTGCCAAAATCAATTTCAAATTTGCTTGACACCACGGTGTATCCATTTCTCATATATTTTATTATGTTCTTTCGCTCAATCAACAATACAATATGGTAATACCAGCCCAGACCCCCGCGAAGTTCCGACATTCAAAATCAATAATTTTTACGGCAGATTCCGAGACAAGGGCCAAGCTTCGCTGCAAAGAACGAAATTACAGTTAGATGAATTCTATGCACGTCAAATGTCAATCTTCGGGTACAGCTGGTCGGAATCAATCTTGGCATTAAAGAACCTCGGCAAAAGTTTTAAAGAGCGCACACAAAACTAATTGAACTTGGACAGCGTGACACTTCACCCAAAAAGAAAAAAAAATGGAGAACCGAACATCCAGCCAGCCCAAAACCAAAATGAACAATATAGGAAAGTGCCTCTGGAGTCAAGCCATCAGTCAAAGCATTTTGTTCCAAGCAAATAAAGGCAAGCAATCAAATTCAGGCAAACGCCAGAAGAGTTGAAAAATAAAAAAGTGGCGGCCGGGAGGAGAGTTCAATGGGGCAACGGTAAAAAAGTAAAAGAAAATAAAACTCAACCGCACATTGTGTAAATATTGACACGCGGGTCAGGCCCTCAGAACAAGGTTTGTGCATTTGTCAGGGGCCATCTGGGATGCTGCTTCGCTCCCCAAGCCCAAGCCCAAACACATTTGGGTTAGACAAACTGAGTCGAAAATAAACGCACCCGAAACAAAATGAAGATCTTCCGAGATCCGGAGCCGACAAGCCACAGGAGGGCTTGCCTCGCCGCCTGCCCTCCTCCTGACCGCAAAATATCTGTAAATTAAGGTGCAAATAACAAATTGCGCAGAAGTCAAAACAATTTGCAACGCCTCCGAACTGCACCTTTCTATTTGCCGAAAACATGACAAAACCGAAATGCAAACTGCAAATGTGACAGAACCTCTGGCGAACAAGTGCACGAAGGGTGGTCTTCGTGGGAGAGCTGGCACAGGTAGGATTCGAAGGATTTATTTACCATCAAGTGCTGCAAATTGAATTGCCAGAGTAGCTATGCATATCCTGCCGGGTGTCTTTAATAAACAAAGCAAAATATTTGAAAATCGCTTCAGTTTGTGTCCTAAGTCTTTTGTTTTGCAAGGAAAAACGTTTGCTTTCTTAATAAGTTTTACTTAAAATAGACTCTACAAGATGTACATTTTTATTTAATTTAAGATATATATTACGAGATATTATAAGGATGTGTAAGGATAGTAACACTATACTATTTTGGAACTACAATTCCAAATTTACGAATAAAATAGCTATTTATGTAGATAATTCCTTTCAATAAAAGATCTTGCACTGCATAAATATCGTACATCACATAAATTCGAACGTCCCTTTGGCATATTTCCATTTTTTGAATTTGTACCTGGCCAAATCTTGGAATTGATGTCAAACATTGCATAAATTTCGCATCACATCTAACAGCAACAACAATTTCGCTAGAACAAACATCAATAATAATAATGCAAATTTGGCAAGCATCATTTTGTATTCTTCCTCTTTTTTAATGCCAAGGTGCGGGCGTCACTTGGCCAAGTCAGAGGGAGATAGAACTCAAAGACAGAGTGAGATGAAGCATCGCAAAGCCAAACTCCAAGATGGGGCCGCTGTCGATGCTGAGACTTATCAACGTTAATAACACGCAAAAGACAACCAACCACACAAAACAATAAAAGAAATGGAGATCAGAAACGAGAACAACAAAACGAGGCGGCAATAAAAATGCTAAATAAATGGCCACATGAGTGTGTGAGAGGAAGCGAAGAAATGGATCTAGGAGAAATATGAATGTAGTGCAAAGTGTGGGAGGCCTTCGAATGGGCGATGAAATGCACTTGGAGAAAAGGCAACAGCTAACACTTAAAAATCTTTAAGTTTTCTATTTAAACTTTAAATGTTTAAGTTTAAGGTTAAAAGCAATACACTTAGTTTATTTCTTATCTTGAAAGTTCTAATATAATATTTGAGAACAAACTATTACTAAACCTACACCCATTTTGGTTCTGTGTACTTCTTAGTCTGTGTGGGATGGATTGGTGGTAGGTGGGTGGCTCCACAAAGGTCAGAATAAAACGCATCTGGCAGCCGGCAACGTGGCAACTGGCAACCGCTGGCAACTCTGGCAACTTGGCAACCGGAAGTGGGTCAACGAAAACCGGATCCGCATCGTCAAATGCAAACGCAGCTGTGTATGGTAAGAGATAAGCTACAAACAACAACAAACAAAAACAACTACAATAACAAAAAGCAAACAAACAAAACAAAACAAACATCAGACAATGCAAAATGCAATTGAGATGCAAATGCAAATTGCATTTGCCACATATTGCAGTTGCTGTTGGAGTTGCTGTTGTGTGTATGCCAGCAACATAAATAAACATGAAAATAATGCACACCATTAACATTGCCAATGGCCCCCAAAATGCAAACGGGGCGGTGGGTGGATGGACGGGGGCAAACGTTAGATGGATAGATAGACGGACAGACAAAAGGCTGTGTATGCTTGTGTGGAGCTCTGTGGCATGGAGCTAGAGTTGGAGTGTCATGGGCATGGCTTTGGCAGACTTCGCTCTTGACAAACTCGGCGACTCTGTGCTGCATCTAATGAAGTTCCATTCGGAAAGCTTAGAGTGATGGGGAATAGTTGGGTGAGTAAAAAGAAAGAAAATGTTGTTAGAGACATATAAATTTTGCGACTATTTTACGGCTGATAGGTATCGCAGTAAAGGTTCTTCCGAGATAGAATGAATGGGTATTTCTATTCTTTGCTTTATTGGTGTTTAACTAAATATGTAAAAGTTGGAAAACAATCGTTTAAAGCCAATTATGTTTTAGGAAATATGCAATTTTAAGTTTTTAAAGTTTGTTTTATGATTTTACTTCTTCAGGGCAACCCAATCAGGATAAAGTTTAAGTGTCTGCTTCTGTGGAATGTCTTGTTTATGGCCAACTAAAGTCGAGGATAGTGTGAGAGACTGCCTGGATGTGGGAGAGACTGGCTAAGATCGTTATTACAATACCTAATTGATTGCAATTTGCGGAGGGACTTTATTGCAGTCAACGCAGACGAGAACTTACAGATACAGATACCGACACTGAGAGGCAAAGAGTCAGGCAACGAACTTTGCCGGTTGATATAACTGGAAAAGGGCAGCCAAGCTTAAAGAACGGGTGGTAGTGGCAGTGGCAGTGGCAGCGGCAACAATCATAACGGCAAAGTGGAGTCCCAAAAAGTAGAGACAGACAGCGATGCGCAGCGCATCATTTTGTCTAACGGTTAATGGCCATGAAGCTTAAGGAGCAGCCGACAAACGGCAACGGAACTTTTTTCACTTTTCTCGCATCCACCAGATACAAATTGGTCTGCACCTGCGTCAATGTGCCACCGATGCAGTCGGACAATCTCAATGACTGGGCGCATTGTTAACCGCTCCACATTGCTTTTTTAATTGAATTTTCCTCTACTTTGTGCAGCGGCGGTAACTTTATTGTATTTTTTTTATATTTTTTATTTTGGGGGGATTCGGGAGATTTTTGGAATACCGTTTA